TGGTTCATTCCTCATCATGGAGTTTTCCACCAAAGGAAGCCTGATAAACTCCGAGTTGTATTTAATTGCCCTGTTACATACATGGGTATGTCATTGAATCAAGAACTTCTTCAAGGGCCTGACCTAACTAATCTATTATAAGAAGTACTGCTACGATGGAGACAGGAACCAGTGGCCTTATTGGCTGATATTGAAAAAATGTTCTTTCAAGTCCGAGTGAGACCAACAGACTGTGACCTACTTAGGTACTTGTGGTGGCCAGATGGTAACTTGAACAGTGATCTTAAGGAATATCGAATGCGAGTTCACATCTTTGGAGCTGTTTCGTCTCCAAGCTGCGCCAATTATGTGTTGAGAAAGACTGCAATAGGGGCAGAAAATAAAGTTGCCCAAGCTGTAGAAGAGAGCTTTCATGTTGATGACTTTTTAAAGTCAGAAAAAAAAGTGAAGAAGAGGCTATTGACATGGTGGCGAAAATGCGAAAACTGCTACAGAATAGTGGATTTAACTTAACCAAGTGGGCCAGCAATAGTAGAAAAGTGTTGGAAACTATTCCAGAGCAACATCGAGCCAAGGACGTAACAGGAATTGACCTGCAAAATGACAAATTGCCTAAGGAACACGTTTTGGGCGTAAAGTGGTGTGCCGAGTCCGATAGCCTAGAATTCAGTGCAAAGACAGTAAGTAAGATTGCAACAAAAAGAAATATACTGTCTGTAGTAAGTGGTATCTATGACCCACTTGTTCGCCATACACATTGCAGGCTAAACTTATCCTTCAGTCATTATGCCGAGAAAAGATAGGATGGGATGACCCCATACCTGCTCAAAGCCAAAAGGAGTGGAAAGCATGGCTAGCCGATTTGTCTGGATTGGAAAACGTCCAGATCCCACGGTGTTTAAAACCCAGTAATTTTGGAGAAGTAGCCAACGCCTAATTGCATCATTTTGCCGATACCAGTCTACATGGATATGGTACAGTTACATATCTTCGTTCACAAAATACAGCCGGAAATATCCATGTCGGTTTCGTGACGGCTAAAGCCAGAGTAGCTCCATTGAAACCACACACAATAGTAAAATTGGAATTGACAGCAGCAGCATCTGCTGTACGTCAGGATGATCTATTACACAGAGAGATGACGATTAAGTTGGAACCGTCAGTATTCTGGACAGATAGCCAAACTGTCCTAAAATACATATCAAATGAGAAGGCTAGATATCCTGTGTTTGTGGCTAACCGCATTGCAGTTATTCGTGATGGATCAACATTGGACGCATGGCGATATGTGCCAGGAAAACTTAATCCTGCCGACCATGCATCCAGGGGACTTAAGGCACAAGATCTGATGAGACATAAGGAATGGATATCAGGGCCAGATTTCTTGGCTATGAGCCAGAAGAAATGGCCTGTTATGGAAGATATACCACCTAATGGCGATACATCGCACAATGACATCCAGGAAAGCCAGTGCAACGCAATTGGAGTCAGCGAAGCAATAGGTCAATATGACAGTCCTTTGAATAGATTAATACGACACTACTCCGATTGGACAAAATTGAAAAGAGCTGTGGCATACTATATCATTCTAAAAGACATGCTCCGAAAGGTGAAGGAAAGTCATCTACTTACGGCTAGGAAGCTGGAGGAAGCTGGAATTGCTATAATCAAATATGTGCAAACCACAAATTTTCCTCAAAAGAAATTGGGTAAAGGCAGCAATCTAGCTAAACTAAACCCTAAACTAAATGAGGGAATTCTAAGAGTTGGGGGCAGAATCGAAAATGCACCCATTCCCGAAAATATGGAACACCAGATCATTCTTCCAAGAGATTATCATGTGACTACTCTAATCATCCAACACATACACAAAAGGATTGGCCATCAAGGATTAAATCATGTTCTGTCAGTACTAAGACAGAAGTACTGGGTATTGAAAGTTGGACCACTAGTCCGGAGCATTGTGAAGCAATGTACTATTTGCAGGCGTGTAAAAGCAAAGTCCATTGAGCAGTTAATGGCTAATTTGCCGGTGGAACGTGTACAACCTGACGCACCTTTTGCGAACACCGGCATAGACCACTTCGGCCCCTTCGAAGTTAAATATGGAAGAGCCTGTAGAAAAAGATACGGGGTAATCTTCACGTGTATGGCATGCAGAGCTGTACATATTGAAGTAGCTGCATCGATGGATACCAGTTCCTGTATTAATGCTTTGCGCCGTTTTATAGCAAGGCGTGGCCAAGTGAAACACATTACCTCAGACAACGGTAAAAATTTTGTTGGTGCCAAGGCAGAATTTGAATGCATCGATAAGAAGAAGATGCAAGAATTTGCATGCAGCCGAGGGATAGAATTGAAATTTAACCCGCCGTCAGCCTCCCATTTTGGATGCGTTTGGGAGAGGCAGATACGGACAATACGCCAAATCCTCAACAGTCTGTTGAATGAGCAGTTTATAAAAACGACTGGATCTGATGAACAGTTGAACACGTTCATGTGTGAAGTGGAGGCGATCATCAATAGTAGGCCTCTAACGAGGAATTCAGATGATCCAAATGATTTAGATGTAATTACTCCAAATTCTTTGCTACTACTGCAGCCTGCAGGTAATGCAATTGGAGAATTTAACGAAAAGGATGTCTACGCACGAAAGAGATGGAAGCAGGTTCAATACTTAGCTGATATATTCTGGAAGCTGTGGACAAAAGAATACCTAACCACCCTACAATTGAGACAGAAGTGGATGAAACCAAGGAGAAATGTGCGTGCCGGAGATGTTGTACTCATTATTGATCAGCAAGCACCTCGCAACTCATGGCTTATGGGTCTAGTGATAGAAGTCTTTGCGGACAACCATGGGCTAGTCCGAAGTGTGAAACTGAAAACCAAGTCTGGTATACTTAAACGACCAATCGCCAAGATTTGTTTGCTTTTAGAAGATAATTCTCTGTAATTACTGTCTGAAATTGACAGACCATAATAATGCCGTTGATAGTGTGCAAGCCAAGCGCTGCCCGAAATATATAGCAATAATATGATTTACGGAGAATGTTGGAATATTCTCATTTATTTGAACTTCAAATTCATTGCTAAAGTTATAATCTAACAGATTAACACATATCATAATAAATCAAAGGTTACACCATTATTGATTTCAAATAATTTTATAGAAACCATGAAGCATGTGTAGCTGGATTAACCCCAGGTTGAAATCATTGATTTAGAACGTTTGTTTCTTTTGAATCAGTGGACTTTAATCGATAGTTAAACTTGTGATTCTACATTTGTCTTAATTATAGAGACTGAAATGACTTTAGATACATTATAACTGGTTTTAATATTCGTTTTAGTGTTCTTATTGGTATTTAATTAATTTGTTTTAAGAAGGTTTGAAGGTAAATGACGGTTATGACGCTATTAGATGAATAGTTATGATATGTTGTTGAACACATAATAGTAAGGTCGTTGCCTTTTACAGGAGTAACTGGGCCCCGGGATGTTGTGTTCATTAATATTAGTAGTGAGCCCTCTATGTTGGACTTTAGTTCGGAAACAAGGAAAATATGGCCGATTGAATATAGCAGGGCCGAAACCGTCTTTACCTGACTGACTAACCCATTGAATAACGGAATAGTTCATGTACGGAATATGGTTAAATTAATAACTCCATGATTACACGTGATGAAATATGTACAAGCGTTACTGGAATAAAAGGAAGTTGTCAGTCGGAGTAAACGTCGTCCGTATTGATTAATTGGCCATAACAGGGTGTTTAAACAAGATTTACACACTGGATATCCGAATCTGGGAATCCTTTTCCGTATATTTGCCACAATAGCGGTTTCTTCTGCCACTACAGAAAGATCATTCAGTAAATTGAGAATCATTAAAAACTACATGCGGTCAACCATGGGAGAAGAACGCTTAATATCATCCTTAACCCTGCTATCAGTCGAACGAGATCTTTCAGAACATGAACACTTTGACAATGTAATTGATAATTTAGTCGCATGACAGCTAGTGGAAGACGAAATGTTACACTGTGAATGCTATAAAAAGTGTTCAAAGGCTTTAAAACTGAGAAACAATTACAATAATCCACTACAAAGAATTAAGTAAAACGATAATACGAACCCTCGGTTTTACGTAGGCCTCGTACCGACTATAACGTCATCAAAAACCTCGAAAATAATCAAAATCAACCAAACGACCATTTACAGTGCCACCATAAGTAAAAAAGAGATTGTTACTTTCTGTCAGCTTATTAATTCAATAACAATAAACAAACCATATACAAAGTATACGCATTAAACAGCAACGATGATTGAGTCTAATACTGGGCTGTTATACCTAAAACCACCATGTGAACTGCGCAAGAGGAACAACTACCGACGGTGCTCAAATTAATTTCTTTCCTCCTTAGCTTCATGTGGATATATAGTATTGAATTAATACACTTGACATATGGTTTCATTTGAACACTTTATTATGACCATACCTCCATGTAATGACATTGTCCAGTGATAAATAAAAACACTAAACACATGGTTTTATTTGTAGGCCCAGACCTACAGTACAGTTGTATGTCTAGCCTACATCATTCGTTCATAGCAGCGTTCATTCAGGGTTGGTACGTACGTATTAGGTCAAAAGTCACCAAAAATTTAACCCAACCTCATTGGTACGTACGTATTAGGTCAAAAGTCACCAAAAATTTAACCCAACCTCATGTTTACGAATCCCCCGATTTAAATACGCCCTCTGGTCCCCTACCATACTTAAAATTGAGGTTCTACTTTTAGTTCCAAACACACATGTGTAGACCTAATATTGGGGTCAGTGCATTTGTCCGAAGGTCCTTTGGTCCGAAGGGCCTTTGGTCCGAAGGTCCGTTGGTCCGAAGTAATAAATTCAAATATAGACAAAAATATATTTGAAGAAAACACATGTTTGGGACCACCATGTAGGTCTTGGCTAACAATATGCAATTATTGCTAGCATGACTTGTCAGCTCAGTTTATGTGTATTTTTAACAAATTATTAGAAATTGAAAAGATTCCAAGCGAATGGAGCGTAAGTATAACTTCCTGTTTAAGCCGGTGACAGAAAAGTTTTAATAACAATATGGGAATTCAAGTAACTTCCATACCCAGTGTTTGGAAAATCTTAACAGATATATTTACTTATGGCCGATGGGAAACAGTTAACTACTTTCTCATTTTACAAAGTAGACATATTGACAGTGGTGGCGAAAGCATCTGGGAGGGGGGAGAGAATGAAGGGTAAGGTATGATTTTTTTGGGGGGGGGGGGGGGCAAGTTCCCCGACAAGAGCAAAGTGAGCGTGGTTGGGAAAGTGGTAAATGGGGCGGATTCCCCGGAAAATGTGACAATTTAGGGGTTTCAGAGGGTTATTCAATCGATTCTAAATAGATAGTCTACTAATATGATATATATTCTTTTTCTCCCAGACGAATTGTGTTTTTTTTTTCTACACTTCTGTGGGGGGGGGGGGAAACCGGGGGAAACAACTTTTTTCTAGGGGAATTATTTCTCACACCTACGCCTTCCCTGTAGTGCTCCCACTACACATTAAAAGTAAATTAAAGAAGCACTAGTCATGATTCATATCTAATCATAGTACATTGAGTTTTAATTCATAATACTACTGGTAATAGTTCAACTGAAAATGTCACTGGAAACATCTCCCTATCTACGATCGAGAGAGGAATTTTAATGATGTGAGTTAGCCAGATTTTCGTACATTTCGCAAAATAAAGGAAATATATCTATTTTTTTAACTGATGAGGCAGCGAAAATGGATGCGAGAGGTGACAACAAACTAGTAGGGGGTTACCCCGATGTTATGGTTCATTTCAGCCCCTGTCGTTGTGGAATGATGTGAACATGTATCTACCAAGAAGCGCCTCTCTACGGCTGCTAGGTAGTCACGGACCACGCCCATACGCAATTCAGCACAATGACGCTGCAAGTTATGGGTTATTCTCTTACCTTTACCTTTACCCTTTTGTTTTGTTTTTTTTAACTTGGACTTATAGGTTGTTAGGGAAAATATGATAAGTGATCTTTCTTAATTTATTCCATAAATTGTAAGGAATTGTTTTACTGCCATATAACCTGCATTCCTGGAAAAAGGTCACTAATTCGGACCAACGGGCCTTCGAACCAATGGACCTTCGGACTAAAGACCCTTCGGACCAACGGGCCTACGGACCAAAAGACCCTTCGGACAAATTGGCCTTCGGACCAAAGGTACGCACCCCCTATTATTATATATTCCGTTCAGATATACCGTATTTTTTATGTGTGGTAGGGGGTGGTGGGGAAGGTATCACACCGGGTCGTAAATTACTAACTGAAAAAATTATTACCTTTTTCCCCCTGACAACCCAAGACCCATGTTACGCGCCTGTTTGTTAATAGTTACCATACTACTATCAAGTTCACCATTGAACATTCTAATACTTAAATACCATACTTAGATGTTAATGTTGGCTTAAACTTTGTCTACACTATCAAACTTCATAAAAAAAAAGCGTCGCATAAAATGTGGTGGAAAATAAAAGTTGAACATTTTGATACAATTTGATAGTATGTGATATGAAGTTATCGGCACATCACATTTTTTGTCACATAAAATTTGATAGTGTAGACAAAGGTTTAGACGAAGGACCATTCACTACATCACTTAACAGTAAACACACAGACGACCACCAATACCTCGATTCCAACAGCTTTCATCCTACTACATTAAAAAAGTCCATCCTATAAAACCAATGCCTACGCCTTAAGCGAATTCGTTCCGACCCCTTTGACTATGAAAAACAAATCTCCTAACTAACCACCAATTTCCTAAAATGCAACTATCCCCTTAAATTAATTAAATCCGCCATCAGGAAAGCTTCTACTAAATCCCGCCACGACCACCTCACTTATAATAAAAAGCCCACCTCCGATCGTATACCCATAATATTTGATTAACCCTTCAATATCTTCATTAACCAACACCAAAACACGATTATGAAACCACCAAGACACCCCACCATGTTTTTGACAGCCTTCCTGTTCATGCCCAACGACAACCTCACAAATTCAATCTCTTCTCACATCATCCATTTTGCAATATCCTAACCATCACCCGGATCAAGGCAATAAACCTTGTGCTTAAAGGAGATGCCAAATTTGCGAAATCATAACCACTGACACACCATTCACAGTACCGGACACTACACATCAAATACGCTCTCCTCCACTAGATTTTAGATCTTCTAAAATGTTGTTTATTTGATTTATTGTGGTAAATGTAATGATGACAATTAATTAGGCAAAACAGGATGCTCCATTGAATCCAGAATTAACAACCACAAAACTTGCCAGACCAAACTATTAATAACATGAAATTTATCATCATATGCCATGGATATAAGTCCACCAAAGACAGAAAATGTTACTAGATGCGTTGGGATTTAAGGCTTAACACTCATACACAGGTCCAAACAAAATACTTCGGTATTCTGACCAGCTATACGTTCATCAACAAATAGCTAACATATTATTATTAATATGACATTATTATTTGACTTTAATATGTCGAAGAGGCAGCACTAACTGACCGCCCATTGTGCTGATCGTTTTGTTTATCTGTTGTTTATCATTTCATTTTTGTTCAATCGTAGACTTGAACCTATCAATTGTCTAATCCAATGTTATTTATTCAGTAGGCATTACGCCGAAGAAAAGAGTGGGCGCTCCCGAAATTTTCGTAAATACTTTTATGTATCCTGGAAAACCGTCAACCGCCCTGTCTCCATTCTACTGCTCCTATATCAGGATATAGGCCTACGTGCATATGTATATATATAGATCCCAAAATTGGACCCCATCTCATCCAGGTCGATCCGGCACCAGGACGTTTCTATGTCCTACCCAAAAT